TTCCTTGTTCTTTAGTCTTCTCATCTTTTCATACACTCATTGATTTTACTCATCCCTAAATCAAGTAAGACAATACTCTTTTTAGTTATAGAATTTGCTGACTTGGAGATAACATGCAATAATAATACTACATAAGGGAAAAAGTGTTGCAACAATATTGCAGCAATATATAACTACAGCGTAATATTGTTGTAACTAAAATTAGGGGGAACATAATCATATTTAAAGGGACAAAAGTGCAATCAAGCCCAAGCTATAATAACAGTTCTTAAGCTTGATAGGATCTAACCTCTCTGAAACCCCAAATAAAGGGCTGTTCGGTTCTAATGGTGAATCACAAGAATCATTTTCTGCTGAATCACTCTCTCCTGCACCAGAAATGTGAGTCATAAAAACTGCCTTGGTCGATCGTGGTAACAATTGGCCTGGAAAACGCATAAGATCAACCAGCATTTCCACAGAATTTAATACAACTATCAGAGACATATGCTTGTACGAGTCTTGACATTCAGTAACTCCATCATTTGGCAAACCCTGATAAAGAAAATGGTAGTACAAGATATATCTTTATAAAATAGGATATAACAAAGAACGAAATGAAAACAAAAGCAAACCAAACCCTTATCCCAATAGGCAAGAACATGGTGGCAAAACTAATATACAACATTGAGTTTCCATTGTTAATTATTCCGCTAAATGCATTGTAAATTTGTGTGTATCTTTGAAATAAGTAAACTGGCAATCAAGTGCAGACAGTGTACATAACAGCCATTGAGCCCACCAACAGAACTTACCAGCACAAGCCTACTTTCAAGACCAACAGTATCAGCTAATACTTTAAATAAGATAGCTCGAGGACGGCAAGAACCATGCTTTATTTGCCCCAGCATCTGGACTCCTCGATTCTCTAACATGTGAGATGTTTCATCTAGCACAGCTTTTGCTGGACTTTCAACATTGGGACGCTTATAAAAATCAGAAACCTGTTTAGAAATAGAGGTCAAAATAAGCATACAAAATTTTTCATTGTGCTTAGAAAAATAAATTAAATAACAGTAAGAAAAAAATGCTCCCTTACATAATCGATCTAATCCCTGTAATACCCATCAATAGCCTTGTAAATAACAATTGTAGTGAAATTATTTCTACCAAACAAAGTTGTAACGGTCATGACTAATATCCGGAAAAAAATTAACACAGCCCAGCCAAATTGAGTTTAAAATAAATATGTTTCTTGAAAAGTTAATACCATTCGATGTTGGAAATTTCTATTTTCTAAATTGTTTGGGAATATAATCATATGCATTATTTGAAACAATATGAATCAAAATTGTAAAGCACATTTATATAGAAGGAAAAAAATCAATTCCAAGTTACAATAATGACATTAAAGCAACAATAATATGCTAGGATATTATTATGCACAATAAAAGGGTGACACGATAAGATGTGACCAAATACATACCAATCCAGCTATCTTCTTAATTATGGCAGCCGGATTTGAGTTTAATCCTTTAACTAATGCCACAATCAATTGCTTCAACATGGATAACTTTTTATCTTTCTCTGAATCCACGAGAATGACATCAGTCTTAAAACCCTCTCCACTCAAAGCATTAAGCTCGTCCAAGGAAGGAATATTATCAAAAAGTTCCTTTAGTCTTGTTTCCTGCATGTTATAAAAAATAGTGACAAAAACCATTTTAGTCACACACCAAGAACCAGGGTACCATCAACAAACTCAAAGAACAATGTCATGATCCATAATGAGAAGAGGTTATTGAAACACGTAAAAGCTCTATCACTAAGTAAAAATTATCTGGTACAGCTAAGCAGGATCAGCTCCCTGCAAGAAATTTCATCTACTTGGGTCCACGTTCTGAAGACTTAAAGAATAACACTTGCAAATAAAATAACGTATATTTATTGTCACCAATGTCAAATTCCAGATTGTACTGAATTCCCCTTTCCATGCAAAACTAAATATATGGTGCTCCGAAATATTTCCGCTCGTCATTAATGATAGTATAAAAAAACAATTTTGCAGTTTACACAAGCTAAAGAGACACCGTTGGTTCTCTGAAAGCACCACATGTAAATGTTCAGTTAAACAATAATATGCAGATTGTGTCAAGCACCACCTACATCTGTATAATGCAACACACAATCCTTAACAAGTAGCAGCAGCAGATTGTTAATGCTATTCCTACAATCTATATAGCCTGAGCACTTGTACGAAAAATAAATTAACAGTTCTGCACGACCCTCTCTCTCTCTCTCTCAACACACAAACCTTCATTCAATTTTGGATTAAAAAAATTGGTATATAAAATCAATATTCAAACCTGCACCCTATCTAATAGGCTAAGCTTTCAAGAGAGATCCTTGACCAGAAATTTTAAGAGATTAAAAACTAGAAAGAAGAGTGCAGGCAATTGTTAGACTTAACACGAGAAGAGTCTCACCCAAAATACTAGTCCGTTAGATGGGAGAGTCTCAATGCTTAAATACCACATCAAGTAGTTTATTCTACTCAATGTAGAACTCCTAATACGGTTACCCCCTTTAGGGAATAAATCAAAATTGGGATGCAGCTTTTGGAGTATGCAACAAAAAAAACGCAACTCTAAATAGACATCTGCCGCCCTAAGAAGTAACATAGAAATCAATCCTCACCGGAACAACAGAGTAAAAACCATTTGGTATGGGTTCTGAAAGCATCCCAGTGCGCCAGAGAGTTTGTGATGCTTTCTGAGAAGACAAAACATCTTTGACAACATGTCCAGGAGATTCTTTATTACTCAGTGCCTCATCATGAGAATCCAAAGAAACAGATCCAAAATTTTCAACAAAATCTGAAGGCCACCACGACACATTAGATGGCCCTTGCTCTGTCGGCCCTGCATCTTCTCGTGTCTCCTCCATGTTCTTATATATTTAGAATGAAAAACCATGTCGCCACAATCATTAACCCATAAGAGAGATAGGCTAAAGGTAGTTCTGATTATACAAAATCATTGATATAAATATTTTAGTGACCCAATTGCTTCACGCGGGAGATCATGTAACCTGCAGGAACCAAATAACAAGGATATGGCATATTAAAAAAATAAATATCTGATAATAGAAAGGAACGAATTTTCAAAATCATTACACATGAAACTGAAGCATTACAACCATGAGCCAAAAAACAAATCTTTGCAAAAAAAAAAAGATAGAAAAATTGTTAGCATTGACCAAACTCCACCACTCATAAATCCCGTGACAGTAATTACATGATTCCCAAATGAACCGTAGAAGTTAAACTTTCAGAACTGATATTATCACTGGTGAGCTTAGGACGCCAGGAAGTAATGATTATCTAAAGTCCAAATAATTCAAAATACAAGAGTAAGCCTATTTGTGCAAGTTACAACTATTCCAACAAATCATCAGTCATGTGAGACCCATAAACATCATATATTGGACCTGTAATAATGTAACCTATATCGACTCTCCAAAGGAAACAAAAAATGCATCATGCATGACTAGAAGTTGACATACTAAGATCTCCTGACCATTTCCGATTCAGCACTTTCCCGTTATTAAAAAATTAATACAAAGTATTTAACACTACACATTTCCCTAAATTATTGAAGCAGATAATGACAAAAACACGTGAGAAATATCAAATATCTAGATTAAAGTGCAAACATATCTTATATCTTAAATATTGGATATGTAGACAAAGTATACTGCGCTACTGCAGAATATTCATATAACCAAACCATTCTTGTGAAAGACAAATACCATCCATTCACAACTGTATAATGTGCTGACGACAGAAATGCCCACTTCCATATATTCATTACTTACAAATGTAACTCCAAATGCTATTGCATCAACACTGAAATTGTAATATCAACTAGTTTTAAATATTCTTACTGTTTACTAATTCATAATATCCTCAGCTAGCGTGGTGAAGCTTTTTGATGTTGTGTTGTTGTTCAATAGCTCATAATAAAATTGGTCTTTATACGAAATGATAAAGGTTAATCATCAAGATCAGCCCCACTGAAGCAAGAAAGAATCTTTCACTTCGTCGATAAAGATCAGGACATATACATAAGACATGTCATTAATACCACTGCCACTTTCACAATCGGTTACCGTAACCATTCATTGCACATCCAAAGGAAAACTCCTAGCACAAAACCAAATAAAGTCGCAAAAGTATTTCTAATTACCCTATAATTTGCATACTAAAGAATCTCTCCGATTCTTGCTTCTTTCAAGACTTTTTATTTCAAACGTACTATTAGTTTCCAGCTAAACTGATCATCTCAACTCGATGACAAGTCTATTCTCCTTCCGTAATAAACTTTGTTTTCACTTTTCCATTTATTCTTGTCCCTTTCTATGTTTTCTACATTTGTTTTAAACAAACAAAGGGAGAGGTCAGGAATATTTTGTATTGTTTTAAATCATTTTCCTGTATTAGTTTATTTATGTATTTCCATATTTTGACAAGTAGTACAGAGAAAAAAAAAATAACAATAAGTCAATAACAATACAGTATGCCGCAAAGGCAGAAAACGAAAAGACATCCACAAACTGCCTAATATAGAGTATTACTCTCATAAATCCCGAAGAAAAACCACAACAGCACTAATAGTCTGCACGTAAAAAACACTATAACCTCGCTAAAGGAATGCGTGCACAGTTCAATTCAAATTTCAACCCTAACAGGGCAAAATAGTTCAGCGAAATCATCGATTCCAATTCAAATTTTCAAAAACAAATAGTTCCGCAATACCAACGCACATTAGATCACACAGAGAACCTACTTACATCATGCACAGACTCAACTCCATTCACAGTAAATCAAAAAAATGAAATAAGTAAACGCCTTAAACAAATCCATACGAAACCACCAATGCCAGAGCCAGAACAATGCCTAATGCCTGAAGTGAGAATGCAAGGCCATCGGAAACAAGAATCAAACACAAACGGATTGAATTCGGTTGCAAGAACGCGAATAAAAGCAGGAAGAAAATTATGAGCGACATAAAAGGAAAGGTGAATTCACCGGCAGCAGATCCAAGCATTCAGTCTGAATCTGGATTGGCATCCAATAGCATTTGAATCTGATTCAGCCGTTAATAGCGCGGAATCGTCTTAACGCATACAAACCAAAGCCGAGAGAGAGATAGAGAAGAAAGTGAGAGAGACTAAGAAATGAGAGACAGAGAGAGAGATTTGAGTTTTGGATTGATGGAAGAAGAAAGCGATGATTTGCTTTTTGTTTCAGAGCTGCCAAGGAGAGAGTGAGACAGGAAAGAGAGAGAGGAGAAGGGAAGGGAGAGGGAGGGGGTAAGTCACGTGCAGTGCGAGAGGGATCTGGGGACCTCTCCCCGACAGCCAGCTAGCAAAAGGGTTGGCTCACCAACATCCACAACTTCTTACGCGTCAAAGCTATTATGCTATTCCCCTCTAGCCCTCTATTCTACCTATAGCTTTTCCCTCCTCAATCAAATATTTTCTCATTCAGTATTCATTATTCTTGGTTTATTGCTATTCAACCACAATCATCACTTTCATTCACCTTCTTCATTTTTATTATCTATTTTTATATTTACATTAATAAATATACATACTAAATTATTAATTAATTCCATTATTGATAAGTTCACTCAATTTTCTTCAAATGAAAAAAATCGTGATTGGATTGAGGGTTGTATTAAAAATAGATTAATCAATCTCTTTAACAAAAGTTACGCATAAGAAGAATTGATAAATATTAATGTTAACTACAAAACAAATTACCATTATAAAAATTACATTAATGTTAATCATACACTTTTCTATTCAACATTGTTATTAATACTATTATAAAAAAACTTATGAAATCAAAGACCAAGTAATAAATGAGAATGACACTTGTTGAAATTTTATATTTTTTAGTAATTTATCCAAAAAAATAATAGTGAGTAATAATATAGAGTTTATGTTCAAGAGATTTATTTTACATCAACCGTCCATTTGCATAATTTTTATTCTGATTCAATTAATAATTTTAAATTTGAGTTTTAAATATATAATCTCTTTAAATATTTGTCAGTTCTGATATTCCAAACCAATTAAAGTATAAGTCACAAGAAACATGTGATACCGTGGTATAAAAGACAATTGCAACTCCATGATATTCTCCTTTATAATTATTTATAAAATTTAATTTCTGTAGAATTTTTAAATAACTACTAATGAAAAGATCCAAAATGATAAATGTTGATATTGAACAATTAGTTACTTTTTAACTTTGATAATTAATTATCTTAAATGGTTCCTAGTATAAAAGCAGTTAGAATACTTGACTTGAACCTATTGAAAGAGATGTTTATTTTTATATTAAAAAATAAAAACATTCTTACTATAAAAAATAAATAATTTCTCAATGATATGGTTTTGTTTCTTTTGTCTAAATGAATAAATAACTAAACAAACCACCAAAGACTAATAGTCTTTTGGTACTACTATAGTAGGTGAAATCTTGGTGGACCCTAAGGTCAATGGACTCCAACCAATTCAAACCTTGATCAAGTTGCACACACGTGGGCACTTAACATATGAACAAGTTATTGG